TGAGGGGGCGGTGGGGGGATGAGGGGGCGGTGGGGGGATGAGGGGGCGGTGGGGGGATGAGGTGGGGGGATGAGGTGGGGGGATGAGGGGGTAGTGGGATGAGGAGGTGGGGGGAATGAGGGGACGGTGGGGGGATGGGGCGGTGGGGGGATGAGGGGACAGTGGGGGATGAGGAGGTGGGGGGATGAGGGGGTGGTGGGGGGATGAGGTGGGATGAGGGGGTGGTGGGATGAGGTGGAGGGATGAGGTGGGGGGAATGAGGGGGTGGTGGGGGGATGAGGAGGTGGTGGTGGGGATGAGGTGGGGGGATGAGGGGGTGGTGGGATGAGGAGGTGGGGGGGATGGGCGGTGGGGGGGATGAGGGGGCGGTGGGGGGATGAGGGGGCGGTGAGGGGATGAGGAGGCGGTGGAGGGATGAGGCGGTGGGGGATGAGGAGGTGGTGGGGGATGAGGCGGTGGGGGATGAGGAGGCGGTGGGGGATGAGGAGGCGGTGGGGGGATGAGGAGGCGGTTGGGGGTTGAGGAGGCGGTGGGGGATGAGGAGGCGGTGGGGGGATGAGGAGGCGGTTGGGGGTTGAGGAGGCGGTGGGGGATGAGGAGGCGGTGGGGGGATGAGGAGGCGGTTGGGGGTTGAGGAGGCGGTGGGGGGATGAGGAGGTGGTGGGGGATGAGGAGGTGGTGGGGGATGAGGAGGTGGTGGGGGGATGAGGAGGCGGTTGGGGGTTGAGGAGGTGGTGGGGGGATGAGGAGGTGGTTGGGGGTTGAGGAGGTGGTGGGGGGATGAGGAGGTGGTGGGGGGATAAGGGTGTGGTGGTGGGGGTGAGGAGGTGGTAGGGAGGGGACTTGGCTTTTTTCATACAAATACATCCAGACAAATGGTATGTCCGAAAGCCATGTGACAGAAAATGACCATTGTTCCCACAGGGTGACTGTTTTCAGCCCAGAGAGTCGTCATTGTCACTAGGCCACCTGTGAACATGGGCAGCAACAGCACTGTCTAATATTAACTTTCCCTGAGTCAGTGTCCTCATTTGACAAATTCCAACTTAACAAAAATACATTTATGTGTAGAAAAAGGCTAGAAGGTTGAAGCGTCTCTGTGGGTATGAAAACACGCGTTCTGTTTTCTTCTCGTATTTTTTAAATTTCCTACCAGAAACGTTAATGAATTATTTAGCTAATGAGAACACAATTTTAATTCACATTTAATTGGCACATAAGGAGCGACAGAGCTTGGGCAGCTTCTCACAGGGCTTTCTGCCGTCCCCAGCCGAGACACCAGCAGGGCTCAGGAGCTGCCCTTGGATGACGGCTGGTGGCAACAGGGACACGGCCAGCCCCCTTCCCCCACTCATTGTGATCTGGGCAGTTCCATGGACTCCTCTTGCTAAGTCAAGAACATTCTTGATTCCTGGCATTGATATCAGCGTCTCACATAGGACCATGTCGCTCCCTCCTTCAAATCTTTTAGACTTCCCTGCACCATGGCCCTGGAGAGCCCCTCCCTCCTTCCATGGCACTGAGCTTCCAAAGAGCATGGTGGACACCGGGCTGTACTCTTTCTTGTGCCGTCCTCTTAATATTCCAGGTCCATTTGTCGGCCACACATCCCCGCACCTCCCACGCACCACCTGAGAGTGGTCATTGCCGTCTCCTCCGTTAATGGTAAAGTTGTGCTAATGGCCTAGCTTGGTGCCTTGGGTATGCTAAGCTTTGAGAAATAAAGGCAAAATGCAGCTGTGTTGGAACTGCTCAGATAGCATCATGCCTGGATCCTGAGAGTCTATAAGATGAAGACTTCAAAGCATCGTGGGCCAAGTTTGCCAATTATCAGAGGAAGAGAAAGTTTCCAGAAAGCAGGGGTCTAACCCCAAGGAGCAGGACTGCATGGGGGCCGGGCAGGAAACCATGTTGGCCTCCTCCACCTGTTTACCTGTGTCCCTGGGTGGTGGTGGAGCAGCTGTTGCTGGGGAATGGGGGGCTGGAGGGGCTCCCAGCACAGACCCCGATGGAAAGTGCAAGCTAGGGTTTCTCTCGGGGACAGAAGAAAGGGAATGGGAAGGATCTTCTCCGAGGTACAACAGGCAAGAACACAGTCCAAGATCCCATGACCAGCGCTGGTCTAAGCTCAGTCAACATAAGCTCCTAGCAGAGGTGGCATCTGGAGTTTGGAGGTTGTGAGTCCCTGCACCAAGTGGCTCCAGCCTGAGTCTCTGTCACGTTCTAGGGATACGTGTGCCTGTGTGTGTGTGTATGCATGCACGTGCAGAGGCCACACATGCTGGGCTGGGGCTGACACAGGCTTAGCTGCTGGGCCTGCTCAGGCTCACTCATCTCCCACAGCTGTCAGGAAAGAGAGCGGCAGGTGAGGGTGGGCCTGGCTTCTTGTTCCCAGGAAGGCTTAGTTACGCCAGCCACCCCTCCACCTGCCGTGCAGGCCTCCAGCTCAGCAGAGTCACTGCAGGAGGCCAACCCTTGGGGCGCCTGGGGCTGAAAGGCGGAGGTTCCCCACCCACCCTTGGGGGTTCCCCGCATCTATGCCAGAGACGCTGCCTCGGGCTTTCTGAGGGGCACGTGAGATACAGGGACAGATGCAGGCAGCCCTCTGGGAGCTCAGCCGGGCCTTGACGTCTGTGGGGTCAGAGAGCGCATTCCACCCCGCAGCCCACCCGGTCACCCAGCAGGGCAGCCGCTGGCACTCAGCGCCTCAGGTCGGTTTGTCAGCTGTACCTCCCGAAACTTCCAGCACACCACGTGGGAGTGGCAATCACATTCTCTCTTCGCTTTAAGTGTGTGCTTATGGCCTAGGGTAGTGCTTCATGTAGCTGAAGCCTCACCAAGTAAATGCAAAATGCAGCTGGCTTTGAACTGCACAGACACCATTTCACGAGGTGCCATAATTATCTGTAAGTAGACTTCCAGGGCTTCACTGGATCAGATTCTCTAGTCTGGAAACTGTGGGGTGACACTCAGCTTTTCAGCAGAATCGGGGCCTTGGAGATGACTTCCTGTCTTTATTCTTTCCAGCTGTGGTCCACCCTGCCCTACATCCAGATTAATCTTTGGAAAACCCCTACCGCCGTTCCTACTGCCACCCTGCTCCCTTTAAAACCTCTGACAGCAGCCCAGTACCCAAAGGATTGAGACTAAGCTCTTTTCCTGGACTTCAAGCCTGCCCCCAATTGCTCTCCCACCTCGTGATCCCTCCAGTACCCTCCTTGGAGTTCACCCAGCCAGGGAGATGCCTTCATTAGCTCCCCAGGAGCCCTGCCTACTTTTACCCTCAGACCTCTGCTTTCACTTTTCTTCATACTGAAGGGAAGCTCGAGTTCCATTCATGTCCCAAATCCTCCATGAAGCCTGCCCCGCCGAACAACCTCGGCTGTGATGACCCTTCCCAGAACTTCCATCCCTGCAGTTACTGTAGCAATGTCTGTCTGCTTCTTACCGTTTGTTGCACTGGAAAGCCATTGATTTTTTTTTGACTCACATATTCTATCCAACTAGGTAAGAATCCTGTTTTGGTTAAGGACTGTGTCTCTCACATAGGAGGCTTTGGCGCATGCACTTAATAGTTTCGTGACTCTAATGGGGCTTACGGACAATGAGACCACTAGGAATGAGGGCTGAGAGGGCTCAGAGGAGGTGGCCTCACACCTCAGGCTCTGGGATGATGCCCAGTGAACCGGGGGCTGACAGAGTCCCAAAGCCCTGAGCCCTCAGCTGCTGCAGATCAGAGCCTCGGGCTGGGGCTGAGTCATCCGGAATTGCTACAGCTGTTAGATTGCAGCAGACAGAGCCTTTCACCTTGGTAGTTTTCCATGGAATACTGTATTAAGGAACCTGTGGAAATGGGAGGCAAGGCTGGGAATTGGGCAATGGGAGGGGACCTGCCTACCAGTGCTGCAGATATGGGTGAGGTGCCTCCAGGACCCCCGGTGCCCGGGCTGCTTGTGCCTCACCTGGTGCATCTCTGCAAGGGCAGAACCTGCCTTCCTGGAGACTGGGCTCATCTGCCACCAGCAAGTCACTCCCTGGCCACCTCCTCCCAGCCAAACCTTTGAGTGGTGGAGGTGTCCTGTGGCTCCGCAGAGCCAGCCTGAGGCCCTGTAGGTGGAGTGAGGGCCTCCCATGAAATTCACCTGCTTTTCTGCTTCTCAGTACTGCAGCCCCTTCCCAGCCCGCTTTCTCTGCTGTTCCTTTTGTTCCTACCTCTGGCTAAGCCAGCTTTGTCCCAAGCTGTCATCTCCATCATCTCCCTGTTCCCAAGTGCCTCCAAGAGGCACCAGCAAAGCATGGGACCTATCCTGGCCGCCCAATAAATGGGCTTCAAAATAGCTTTGCTTAAGCCCCCCGGGGACACTCAGTCTCCCTGGCTCCTGCTCCCCCATTTCTTGGTCACACTGCCCCAGCTGTGCCCCGGGAGAGGCTGTCACTCAACGGCCTGCAGCACGAGCCTATTTTTAGGCAGCCCCACGTCCTCCCCAGCCACCTTCCCATGAGCCATCAGGTCCACCCTCCTGGGCTGGCAGTGGCTGCGTGTCCCTGGGTCTCCTTAAGGAAAGGCGGCCTCGGCTAGGAGCTTCCATTACTAAGCAGAGGAAACAGACAGGAAGTAACAGGAGGGGGTCTCTTGGACACAGAGGAAGTACTTGCTGAGTTTTGGGTGGGCTCTACTTGGAGGGGAGTTGGGCGACACTGAGGCTGGTGACACCTGCCTTTATTCTGACCACAGGGGGTCCCAGAAGGCTGGGAAGGGGGCCCCAATTCAAAGAAATTCTTTCCCTCAGGGCTGCGCAGTCTCTGTTGAATTCCTCGCGGCTCTCCTCCTCGCTTCCCTCAACCATCCTTGGGTGGCCCTACTTGGTGGTAGGGCGTAAAAGGGAAAAGCACTTGGAATGAACGGCAGAGGGGCTGCCCTTTGAGGCATCACTTCTCTGGGTCTGTTTTCACATCTGTTCAATGGGTCTAATAAAATTCCAACCCTGTCTACTTTGCAGGGTTGCTGTGAACACACAGCCTCGTACCTGAGGGAGCAATGCCAGTGGAGCGTGAGGAGTTAGCGTCACCTTCAAAATGCCCTCTGGTTTCTGGACAGGGTACTGAAGCAGTCCAGCACTGAAGAGAGGCCGCCCACTGGCCAACTGCACAGCCATGTCACCTCGCCATTTTTCCAGCAGAGCCACACATCGGCCTTCCCCTGCCAGCCTCTGAGGGCCTCTGGGTGAGGAACCCAAGTCTACGGTAGGAGTGGGCACTGGGTATCATATTCCACAGAGCAGACCTTGCTCTAGTGAACACCGAGGGCCTCCCGAAACAAAACTCTCATGTCAGAGCTCAAAGTCGAGTCCTGACAGGGCAGGGAGGGGCGGAGTGACAGCCAGGCCTGGGGAGTGGACGCCCCTTCTGCCATGCATGGTGTGTGAATGAAGCCCCTGCTGGCATCGGGCCTGTGACATCCCCGAGGACATGGCTGCAGCTCCACCTGGACCCAGGGCGCAGGGCAAGGGAGCTGTGAGAGGGGAACTTGGAGCTCGCCAGTGCCAGCTGTTGTTCTGGGCCAGCATGGCATCTCGAGGGCTCACCACAAAAGAGACAGGCCACTCCCCCAGCTGCAAGTTCCCACTGGGAATCCAGCGGCATCTGGGGCCCTGCAGACAGCAGCCTGCCTTTCATGTGCGGAGTGGGGCCTGGAGGAAACATTTTCCGTGCCTGCTGCCAAATTTCCTCAAAGAACAATGCAAGAGAAGATGCTGTTTTGCAGTCCGGGAAGCTGGGAGGGGCGGTGGTGTAGGTTTCAGGAAGGTCAGAGGTCAGCTGTGCGCCTCTGGGAAGCTGCCCCCCCCAGTAGAGCAGGCATCCCCAGACCGTTCCCCTCCCGTGCCCAGGCCCCTTCAGGCCTGGAGCTGCAGGGCACTTGGAGTGGTTCTCGGGCACTTGGGCAGGTTGTAGGAAGTGGCTGCCCCAGCATAGATGGCTTCTCCCGCTTCCCAGAGCTGCGGGGTCTAGTGAGATGGGGGAAGGACCCTCTCGGTCATTGCTGCTGCCAACATCATCACAAGGCATATGTCAAACACTTGCAGGAGTCACCCTAAGATGTGTGAACCCGAAAGTATCCGAGACAGGTCTCAATCAATTAGAAAGTTCCTTTTGCCAAGGAGAAGGACATGCCTGTGACAGCCTCAGGAGGGCCTGATGATGCGTGCCCCAGGTGTGTGGGACACAGCTTGGTTTTCTACATTTTAGGGAGACATGAGGCATCCATCAATGTGTGTGAGATGTCCATTGGTTTGGTCCAGAAAGGTGGGTGCGATTCAAAGTGCGGGCTCCCACATCATAGGTAGATAACAGACAAACAGCTGCATTCTTTTGCTTTTTTGGAGATGGAGTCTCACTCTGCTGCCCAAGCTGGAGTGCAAACTTGGCTCACTGCAACCTCCGCCTCCCAGGTTCAAACCACTATCCTGCCTCAGCCTCCCAAGTAGCTGGGGGAATACAGGCATCCACCACTATACGCACAGCTTATATGTATGTATGTATGTATGTATGTATGTGTGTGTGTGTGTATATATATATATATATATATATATATATATATATTTAGAAGAGATGGGGTTTCACAGTGTTAGCCAGGATGGTCTCAATCTCCTTAACTCGTGATCCGCCCGCTTCAGCCTCCCAAAGTGCTGGGATTGCAGGCATGAGCCACCACACCCAGCCACAGTTGCATTCTTTTGAGTTTCTGATTAGCCTTTCACTGAATCTGCAGTTTACATGTGAGAGAGGCGTAGAGGAATAATCACTGATGCCTTAGTCTAGCTCAGTGAATCTGCATGTTTTTTTTGAGATGGAGTCTCCCTCTGTCACTCAGGCTGGGGTACAGTTGTGTGCTCTTGGCTCACTGCAACCTCTGCCTCCCAGGTTCAAATGATTCTCCTGCCTCAGCCTCCTGAGTGGCTGGGATTGCAGGCATGTGCCACCATGCCCGGAAAATTTTTGTATTTTTAGTAGAGACGGGGTTTCACCATATTGGTCAGGCTGGTCTCAAACTTCTGACCTTGTGATCTGCCTGTCTCAGCCTCCCAAAGTGCTGGGATTACAGGCATGAGCTACCATGCGTGGCCGAATCTGCGTTTTTACATAGACAGTAGGGCAAAGGGAGCTATCATATACGCGTTGGTCTCACAGAGGAATGACTTCGAGTTCCGCCTGTTCTTTGTCCGCAGGAATTTCCCTGTGGGTAAGTTGTGAGCAAGGTGTGTGGAATTTGGTCTGTGTAGCAACCATATTTAAGAATAAAATGGGAGGCAGGTTTGCCTGATGCAGTTCCCAGCTTGACTTTTCCCTTTGGCTTAGTGATTTTAGGGTCCCACAGTGTATTTTCCTTCCACAGATGTTTTATAAAGACACCATCTCTGCCTTCTAGAAGATTCTAGTCTACATGGAAAATGCAAGCAAGCATGGCAGAGTGAAAGGCAGTGCTGTGGGTTAAGACCAGGGACTCTGGAGTTTGCTGCCTGGTCTGAATCCTGACCTAGTTACTTATAGGTCATGTACAATGCCTCAGTTTCCCCTCCAAAAATGAGGATGAAGCTAACAACAGCATCTCCTTTATGGAGTTGTTATAAGGATGAAATGAGTCACTGTTTGCAAAGCCCTTAGGATAGCAACTGGCATCACACACCTACAGTGTTTGCAAAACAAGTAACACATGAGTAAAAGAAAAAACGTGGGCCATGGCAACTGGGGTGAGACCACACTGGGTTTTTAAGATGAGGTTTGGCAGGTTTCCAACACAAGGGTTTTCTTTTTCTAAGCATAGTTTCAATTGCTCCAAATCTGTTTTGGGTTTGTGGGAAAGGCAAATGGGAAAGAATGCGGTTCTGAAATGCAGGGAACTTCACAAAGCTTTAAAAGACCATAGCTTCACCTTCCCGGAGCAACTCCTGAAAACAGAGACCTGTGTTTCTGCAAAGCACTGTGCAGGCCACCTCTCCAACAAGTCTGGGTGGAGGGAGAAGTCTCCAGGCTCTCCTGAAATCAACACTGATGTGTTGGTGGGGAGAAACTAAGAACAAGAGGACCTGGCTAAGGTCCCAGCCTGCGACGGTGTCTGGGCCGACATGCCGGCTGCCTACAGAAATCTCTTCTAGAGACTGAGCTGGAGTAGAATTTCTCCCGTTTGAACAAGCAGATGATATACGATGTTCCATTCTCATGGGGTAGTGCCCTGTCCAGTCTTCCCAAGACCCAGTGGCGAAGAAGAGGTTTCTAGCTAAGGAAGGGAGACAGGGGTGGTAGCTTCCCACGGCTCCCGCACATGTTGGGTGTGAAGCTGGCGGTGGAAGTGTGTTTCCTCAGCAGCTGTGGGTGCTCAGGATACTGGGCCTCTGGGGATCACCCAGCACAGCAGCCCTTCCTTAGTGGGGCTCTCCAAGGGCCAGAGGACCACCATGGGCTGTGCTTGTGGCCTCGGCTGCTCTGGGGAGAGGGTCATTGGTCCCTCTTACTCACCTCCTGTTGGGAGTGGCCAGGCACAGCCTGACCATACAAGGTGACTAGGAGTTTAGGTTCGAGTGTGTTGAGGGTGGCCAGGCATTCTGAGTCTGGGGCCCTCCAGGCAAAAACAACTCATCAAGCTTTTGAAAGCAACAGCTGAGTCACTAATACCAGTAGCAACCACGATTTGTACTTTCGGTGTGCCAGGCATTCTTCTAAGTCTAACCTAAAGTCACTGACCTCAACATTACACAGCCTGATTTATACAATGACAAACATTTTAAATGCTGTACTGGAAGGTGAATTCAAACTGCGTCAGTCAGCTTGACTTCTACGACCCCACACGCTTTCCCTGAGGGATGCTCAGCCACCAGGCAAGTGACACCCTGGCATACGCGCCTCCTGCTGGCATCTGTGTTCTAAGCTACTGTGTCCCTGTTGATGTGCACGTGAATGATTTGAACTCTATAGACAATTTCTTTTTTTTTTTTTTTTGAGATGGAGTTTCATTCTGTCACTCAGCCTGGAGTGCAGTGGCGCGATCTCGGCTCACTGTAACCTCTGCATCTTGGGTTCAAGGAATTCTCCTGCCTGAGCCTCCTGAGTAGATGGGACTACAGGTGTGTGCCACCACACTTGGCTAATTTTTTTGTATTTTTAGTAGAGGTGGGGTTTCATCATGTCAGCCAGGCTGGTTTCGAACTCCTGACCTCAAGTGATCTGCCCGCCTCGGCCTCCCAAAGTGCTGGGATTACAGGTGTGAGCTACCACGCCCAGCCTCTAGAGACAATTTCTGTTCAGCCAACCTTTCCTAAATCTTTCTTAAAATTGTTGGTTCCCACTTACTGTTCCAGTCAAATATGGTCTGTTTTATGAATACCAATTTTGTCACCTGCGGCACATATGCCCTCCCTGGAAGCTTTGGGTCATTTGTGGATTGGGACAGCATGTTTTCACTGGAGCCACTGGGTAAGGACAGTGGAGGAGCAGGCTGGGCAGACACTTCGTTTAGGTGCGAGCTTCTACTCAGCCACAGATCTGTCCACTGTGCACTCCATCCAGCCTGTTGTCCCAGAGCTGGTGATAGGGGAGTTCCAGGACATCCCTGGTTCCTCGGCTGTCCCTTCTCTTAGCTGAGCCCTTCCTCACCTTTCCTCCCAGATCCCGTTCCCTCCGCTTACTTGTGGGGCATCTGTGGGGACAGTTTCTGAAACCGGAGCCGTGGGCCAGCATTCCACCTATTGTCTGCAAGCTGGCAGAGCAGAACAAACCTGCCTGAGATTCTCATTATGGCTTGTGATGTGGGAGACAGGCCAGCTGCAGCTATTGCCAGGGTAACCAGTGGTGCAGAGAAAGGTAACAAAAAAGAGCCTGGAGCCTCTTGACCAGACTTGAGAAGTCAAGGAGTGGCGTGGAGGGGAGGGCGAGGGACTGCCATTCAGGGGCATCAACTGTTAAAACAGTCAACTGCAATCTCTCTGCCCTGCTCCAGGCCGGGACAGCCCCCAGAACAGCGCCCTGCCATGCACTACCAGCATGTGCCTGCTGTGTATCTGTGTTGTCAGGGGTCCATTTGGCCCTGTGTAGCCTTTTCTGTTTTGTGCATTTCCCTGCTCACACTTGAACGTCTTCAGTTCCTTCCTCCCTTTCTCTCATCCTCGTCTGGAGCTCCTTTCCTTCTCCTTTCCCATGGACGAGAACATCAGCCTCAAAATATTAAAAGAA